GGGCATACATGGAAAGGTTAACCCTTTAAATTTTTTGTTTAAAGGGAGGGAACCCAAATTCTTTAATCTTGGGAAAAAGTTTCCCGAAGGGTGAAAATGATTTTGATGTTTTCCAAAGAGACCCGATTTTGGCAAAATTGTTGGTGAAATTTCCCGATCAATCCCCAAATATTTGGGATACTTTTCCTAAATTTTGAGTTTAAAATAGGGTCCAAAGGCAAAAGTATTAAAGGGCTCTGGCTACTTATGAAATGATCAATGTTTTCACATTCCTCAACTGTGTTTAGACAGAATTGACCCAATTGATTTAGATTACATATTAAATTTGACCTCTCTCTAAATAATGCATTCATATATTCGAATAACTTATTTAGAGAGTCCTCTATTTAAGCTTGATTGCAATAAATTGCTCTTATACAATAGGCCAAAAGGGAGGAGATATCGTTTTCATTATGTGTTATTATATCAATTGAACGTTGTATCTCTCGAGTCCCCCGGACTTAATTCATAGATTAAAATTTTAAACAGGATAAAGCAACTTAATCAACTAGGACACACACCTATTCATACAATTAGGAATCCAATATCTTAAGAGAAAATTATCTTCTTCATGACACTTATATTCTGATGCAAGACTAATTTCTCTAGAAGATTGAAGGGTCCATTCAATATAATTTACTTCTTGATCACGTTTATTAATATTATCTATCTATGGAAGTTCTTATTCTTGGCATTGAGGTATATCTAGAACAGAACAGTTTTATCTGGCCACGACAATGTTCATTACTGTCATCTTCAAATGTTACCCTCATCATAGTTATTATTATAATGTTAATCACGTGATTTAAGATCTAGTAGTATTTATTGCTGTCATTTTAAACGTTGTGTGTTTTATGAATATATAGCGTTCTCATATATACACATTTCCGTAGATACAAATCAAAAGTGAAAAATTTAAAGCTCATCTCATCGCCATCAAAATTTTGCTAACAGCATTAAAATAGATGGAGGATTAGAAGTAACTGATGAATATAATAACATTGTTGGATTGAAGCCCATTGATTAAGTTATTATAATTGATTGAGCAGCTCTTCAAGTGGTATTGGAAAAATGAGACAACTTACAGAAGAAGAAACTAAAGTCGTTTTTGAGAAATTGGCTGGTTATATAGGTAGAAATATTTCATATCTAGTAGATAACAAAGAGCAACCTCATGTATTTAGATTACAAAAAGATAGAGTCTATTATGTGTCTGAACATGTTGCTAAGCTAGCTACTTGTGTGGCTAGACCTAACTTGATGTCTCTGGGTATTTGTTTAGGTAAATTTACAAAAACTGGTAAATTTAGATTACACATTACTTCATTAACTATATTAGCCAAGTATGCAAAATATAAGATTTGGGTTAAACCAAATGGTGAAATGCCATTCTTATATGGTAACCATGTTTTAAAAGCTCATGTAGGTAAAATGTCTGATGATATCCCAGAACATGCTGGTGTTATTATCTTTTCCATGAATGATAACCCATTGGGTTTCGGTGTAAGTGCGAAGAGTACTTCAGAATCAAGAGATTTAGCTCCAACTGCTATTGTCGCATTCAGACAATCTGATATTGGTGAATACTTGAGAGATGAAGATACTTTGTTCACATGAAACTGCCTTCTCGATCTTTTTGGGTTTTGAATGGTTTCCGCATTATTCGTTTTTAAATTTGTTCGGGATTCTATTGAAACATTAATAAGAAATGAACATTGTACCATTTGGCATTATATAGACTAATTTCCTATCATACTAAAGCACAATTTATTAAAGAAAAGAAAGAAAACAGTTGTACTCTTATTTAAATAAAATCACTTAAATAACAACATACTATGTACATTATAATTAATTATATCAATAATTTCAGAAATTTTGTTTAATTATATAAACTATCTCATTCTTTATTCATCGGAGGCTTTTCAGACTTAAATTACATATTTATATAATGTCATAATACTTATACTATTGATAGTTAATTAAGTTCTTCTTTATAGCCTATTTACGGCCTTTCTTCTTTTTGTTCTTATTAGGACCTGAGGATTTCTTAGGAACATTAGATTTCGTTATATCAAGAGACTGTTCTGCTTTCTTGTTCATGGCACCACCTTGGGTTTGTTTAGCCAATTGCTTTTTATTTTTTGGTCTATATGTTGATCTATCAATCAATGCTAGCCATCTTTCTGGATCTGGTGTTTTTGAGGCATCACGGTTTGTCATGAATTTAGCCAATTTTTTGGCTTTCTTCTTTTCTTTATGTGCTAGCTTTTTCTTTTGGATTTTACTGGATTTTGAAACTTTAGTAGCATACGAACTAGATTCCAATGGTGAGACACCATCAATGATCAATTTCTCAGTGTCGATATCTTCTACTAACGATATACCTTTATCCTTAGAAAATTCTTCCTTTGATAGAATCGATTCAATCAATTCATTAAATTCGATGTTTTGAACTGATGATGGATCATTCAAAATTTCTTGTAATAATTCAGTACCTTCATTGACTTGACCAATCGATAATAATTGGAAACCTACATGCTTCCAAAATGCTACATTTTCTGCAATTGATGATTCAGATTTACTTGATAAAATCCTTTGAAGTAGCCCAGCCTTTGATGACGATCTATTAACTAAGTTGTATAATTCGAAAAGTGCGTAACAGACAGTGGCATCATTCTCACTGATCTTTACTACAGTATTCCATGATTTTTTCAAAAATAATTCACATAATCTAATAGCATTATCCCAATTTTTAACCACAATTTGTAATTGAAGACTTAATAATAATTGACCAATTAAGTTTCCTTCAATGCCACTTTGCATTGAAGTGATGACATTATGGTATAATTTTTTAGCTTGTGATTCGTATGTTTCATTTACAGAGTCATTAACAACTTTTTGATAATTATGTAAAGTACGAGACAAAACAGAATCCTTACTTTGTATGCTACTATTATTGTATAACCTTAAAAACAATAAATTATTTTGAATAGACTTCCACTGTTTATTTGTCAAATTTTGTAAATCTAAGGATACCAATCTATCATAGTTCAGTTCCCTCAGTAGTAAGTTCAAATTATCAGAGTATTTTGAAAAATCATTGAATGACAGTAAGTTCATCTTTGCAATCAAAGATAATGGAGATTTTTTATCTAATCTTTCTAGTAGGGATTTTAAGATACTTTTAGCCTCTGACTTATTATAGTTTAATTGATGAACATAAGCCAACTGCAATTCGATAGTATCAATATCAAGTTGGTAGTCCTCCTTTTTAGCCATATCCAAAGCTTTCTTTAGCAAGGAAATTGATGAGGTATAATCACCATTAGAAGATAAAATGATAGATTCATTGAACAATAAATCATAAGAATTGTCATTTACCTTAGTTATCAATTGACTGTACTTAATAAGATCTGGATACGCAGTCAATGGAACTCTTTCATTACAAGCTAATTCAGTTACATTATCTAAGCCTGAGTTATTTTTGGTAGCCAATAATTGATAGATTTTAAATGATTCATCATACTTGCCATTTTTATAACAAAATTGTGCTCTAACATGTAAAATACCTCTTAAGCGTTCAGAATTGACATCAACAGTTTCTAATGAGCCCAATTTGTTCAATACACTACCTTCAAACAATCTCTCAAATTGGTTTTTTAAATTCAATTTATAGTAAATGTATAGTTTTTCTAAAATCAAAGAATCGCCAGCTGATTCATCAACTTTCTTAAATTTCTTTAACACATCCAATGCTTTTTGATAATTGTCTTGCTTGATGCATGCCACTAGATAATGTCTTAATACGTCAGCAGCGTTAGCACATTGATTTTCCAATAAGTTTAAACAAGTTTCTTGAACCTTTGAATGTTCATCTTTCGATGATTGCACATTCAATTGGCCCAAAAGTTGAGTCAAGTTATCTCTAGCCATTGTAGTTCTCACTTAGTCCGTCTGATAGAATGATTCTATTATAAATCATAAAGCAAATGTGTGTTAAATAGTTCACCTCTTCTTGTCTTGTTTCTAATATGGCTTTCTTTTCTTTGATATATAAAAATTCGAAATGAAGTCTTCGTTGGAAAATTTGGATATTACGTATATAATGATGATAAATGACAACAATAACTATAAGATGACAGCTGAACTTGTATAAACCTTTAATAGAATAAAGATATCTTCGATTTGTATAATTAGTTTAAATTATTGGGGGATTGTTTGAATAATATAAACAATTGCAAAACTCTTGAGAATTTAAATTCTAGTGCCTCTATTTGAAGGTATGTATGTGATTATTTGAAGGTATGTATGTGATTATATGAAGCCAGCTACATATGTGAAAAAAAATATGGATCTAGGAATAAAACAACACGTCATGATGTAATGCAATCTATAAATATGAGTATTACCAAAATGGTTTATTCTTTTCGATCCATGGATGATTCATTACTTGTTGGAGGTTGAACCTTTCTGATGGAACAACTTTTAATAAATTCGTAATGAGATCCCTTGCTTCTGAAGACACATTGGGAGGGAATTTTAAATCAGATTTTGCTATACGTTTGTAGGTTTGTTCTTTTGTATCTTCTTCAAATGGGGGAGCTCCTACTACTAGTTCGTAAGTGAGTATTCCTAATGCCCAAACATCTACATTTTCATCATACTCTCTTGAACTTATCAATTCTGGTGAAAGGTAATCAATTGTTCCACAAAGAGTTTTCCTCTTCTGATTATTTGGGTTATATATACTCCAACCAAAATCTGTCAATTTAATTTGATTATTAAAACCTATCAGTATATTTTCTGGTTTTAAATCTCTGTGTATTATTTTTCTTTTATGCATATAATTCAAAGCATCAGTCATTTGGTAAACGTAATTTGAAGCTGTAATATCATTCATTGGCCCATTTTTTTTTAATAATTTGTATAACTCGCCGCCTATTAGGTATTCCATAACTAGATAAACATTTTTTGAATCGTGGAAGAACGCATATAACTTGGTTAGATTTTTATGGTTTAAATGATATTGAATGTCAATTTCTCTTTTGAATTGCTTTTGTACATTGAAATTAACAATTTCCATTTTATTCATTACTTTTAATGCACATATAAGTCCCGAAGGTTTGTGACGAACACAATATACTTTACCAAATTTTCCTTTACCTAACTTTCTACCAATTTCAAAATCATTTAATTTTAAATCTACCATTGGGAATCTACCTTTAATCTGTGAAGATGTTGATGAAGCTGGTATTGATCCTGTTGTCGCCACTGTCGTTGTTGCAATTGTAGTAGCATTGGCACTATTCCTTACAGGAGAAGGGATCTTTGACGATGTACCATGACTATGATGATTATTTTTACCCCTAGGAGAATAAGATAATCTCCATACCTTACCATTGCTATTATTCTTTACTCCGCTAATATTCTTAACTTTTGTAGTATTGTTATTGTTATTGTTATTATTATTATTTAAACGCATACTTAACAATAAATTTCTCTGCTTTAACGACTGCCTTCTGTTAGAATCCATCATCGACCTGTCTGATGTGGAGGGTCGTTTAAATTTACTGAATCTAATCTGGATTGATGCCTTCTTTAAACATCACCATCATCGAATCATCTATCTGGTTTTTTAGTTGTGGTTAGTTTGGTGCTTTATATATTGTTATATTAGGATAATTAAGGTAGGGTAAGTAATGAATTAACAAAATGTCTCTTAAGAATGGGGAACTGGAAGTGAAGGTGAAAGGTTACTTAAGATTAATAAGTATATGATTATGATTTCATTATCATTAATAAATATGCTTTTCAATTATTTAACAATTCACCCAATATGTATTGATATATTTGCCAAATTAATTACTCAATAGTACAAAAGATGAATTAGTATTGAATCGAGAGAGAAGAAAACGACAATAATGAAATGCTCTCTGGTCTTAAACTAATAAATGTTGATGTTAATATTGATGTTAATATAGATGGGTGTATATCTTTTCAATGGTTCAAATATGTGTATGTTTTGATTTAATGTAAATACAATAGTTCTAGTATGGTTTTGGTATACTCAGACGTGAATAATGACGGAGATAAGTAAATGTATGGAATGCTCAGCAAATACTCGAAAGATGACAGATACAAGATAATTAAAGTAATAATAATAGTGACGGAAATTGTTTAGAGCTAATCTAAGTGAATCGGTAAAATACAATTTGGCTTGTTGCCAGATCTTGAGCTTTCTACAGAGACAAAAAAAGGAAACCCGTATTTAGATATAACAAATTTAATTAATTAATCTAAGAAATGAATAATACATTCCCATTTAGATCCTTCCAAATCTGCTTTAGGAAAAATATACCATCACTATCATCATTGGTTAATATTACTGATAATGACGTAGTTTCTGGTAGTTATACATACACATACACATACACATCTAAATTATATATTAGCATCAAGAGATCTACTTGGTCACGTGCCAGCTGATTGGTAATATTTCAATTTTGGGTTGAGGACGGCTTTAGTATGTTACCCGGCTTTCACGAATTTCTCTTAGTGTTGGAAAAAAGTCGAATTGGAAATTCGTTCGAATCGAAATAAGATTATAAAAAGTACATGAACTATAGTTGAAGTGTATTTTTTATTGATTTGATAAGAGGTATTCAATAGATCAAGGAGGTTAACTGTATTACACGACCGGTAGTAATCACTAGAATAGTTTGGCAAGTGTTTATAAAATTTTCTGTTTGCTGTAAAAGCCAGAATATTTGATACATTTATGTCGGGCGATCAGCCAGTGCTTTCTGGAGCTTCCAGCGGTAACAATTGGAACAATAGTGGTCTTACGAATAGTGCTATGAGCAGTAGTACTGGATCCTTGTATTTGCCAACAAGAGAGAGATCGAAACTAAGCAGTATTATCACTACTGAGCTATCCAAAAGAGATGATCTTAATTCCACTATTAAATTAATAGGTTTAAATATTAGTGTTATTTCTTCCGAAGATGTAAAACTTCTACGTAGTGTCGAAAAGTTATCTATACGGAAGAATAAGTTATTGACGTTACCACCTTCATTCTCAGATTTGACTAGTTTGCGATATCTGGATTTACATGGGAACATGTTCACAGAAATTCCACCCGTTTTGTTACAATGTCCGCAGTTAGAAATATTAGATCTTTCTCAGAATAATCTTGAAACTTTACCAAGAGAAATATCAGATTTATGGTCTAGAAATTTAAAAGTTTTATCTTTGAAAAATAATAACCTAGTTTCAATACGAGAATTGACACCAATTCTAAAGTTGGAAAATTTAAGCATTTTAGAAATCGAAGGGAATTTAATACCAAAAGAAGAGATAGAACTAATTAAGAAATATACTCCAATGACTGATGATGTTACAAGGGAGGAATATTGGGCTATCGCTACAAGAAGATATTTAAGAGACCATCCGCCTGTAAGAAATTCAGAATCCACAAAAATGTCAAAAGCTGCTAAAAGAATGGGATTTATAAATGCATTATCTCCTGGTCTCAGTAGTGACTCTGCAGATTTTTCACATTCCTCTTCATCATCTTCAAGTTCAGTTAACCACTCTGACGTAGATCATTTCATAAATTCTTCCTCTCATACAGTTGCATATACAAGTGTTAATCATACCGGTTCCATTACCAATTCGTCCACAGGCACCGGTTCAAATGCTAATGCCATTGGTAACTCTTCAGAAAATGATAATCAATCATCAAATGAGTTTTATAATCACACAAAGTATAATGATTATTTTAAGCGTCTTTCTGTACTTCCTGAAGAAACTATTACGAGTAATGTAATTACGGTAGGGCATGATGAAATTGTATTAACCTGCCGGAAGCTCTTATTTTGTTTCACAGAATGCCAACAAAATGTCCGTAANATTGCATCTTTTTGTAAAGAGAAAGCTGTGGCGGGTAATGTTGTTTCGTTGGTGTATTCTGTTAGATCTCATATTGATCAATTAGTCGAAGTGTTGGAAAAATCAGAAGATGTGAAACACCTAATGACAAGGCGTTATTAGCCTCTGCATCTCAATCATTGGAATTTTTAGTAAATTATAAGTTTGTTGTTAAAAAATCTTCAAAGCTTTCTTTGCTGACGATGATTTATGTTTTATAAGAATGTTTTACATGACATTACTAACGACATATAGTGAAATGTATAATGCATGGTGCTTTATTTCACCAGAAAGCATTTCCTCCTCTAAGAAATCATCTCAATTGACTAGAACGCATACTTCATTAGGCATTCATAGTGCCTTAAATAGTGGAAATACGAATGACATTTCAGCAAAACATTTAATGCGGGCTCGTAGTAATACTATTCAATCCAGGATGGTTCCTTCAGTTTTAAGTTCCATAAATACTGGTGCATCTGGGACAACAAATTCTGCGACAAATATTCCTTCTGGACAGTTGGTCTCTCATTCTCCTAGTGTCTCGGTTGCGAATACAAGCTCTTCGTTATGGAGTATGCCATCCGGTAATCAAACTCGTATTAGCAGTATCACATCAAGTGGTAATCAAAATTCTGTTGCTGAGGTCAGATTTCCTGAACATGTTACAAGACAGTCTTCTCCTAGGGTTAAAACTAGTCCTAGTGAATTGAAATTTTCAGAATCAGTAAAGAATGAAGCTGAATCCCAAAAGGGTGGATCACCAACTCCTGTTTCTGGTACCTCTACAATTGGAAGCTTGGCAAAGACTATATCGAACAATGCCGTATCTACTGCATCAAGCAGTAATACTGCAGGGACCGGATTGCAGTCACTTGTAACTCCATCTAGTGTTGCTACATCAACTTTAACTGAGCATGATATCGACAGTCAACTATATCAAACATTAAATACTGTTGTTAAAGTGGTCACAGTTGTCTATGATCAGCTAACTGCAGCTATTTCAAAAACAGCAATAGCCAGTTCTAACGGGCAACAGGAATTGACTGAATCGTTAACTAATAAGATACATGATTTAGCAGAAACCTGTAGGCAATCAATGGAATTGGCTAAAATATTGAATGGAAGACTGCAGTTACTTTCATCTAATGATGAAAGTATTTGCTCAAAGTATTTAACTAACGTTGAAAAATTAAAAACATGGGAAAACATCAATGCATTTTTGAAGTCAATCATTTCTATCTTAGGTAATACAAAGGTAGTTATGGCAGAAATGCCTATTCTAAATGAGATTAGACCCAACCTAGCATCTTTAGCTAAGATTACAAAGGACGTGACAGTTATATTAGATTTAAGTTCCTATAAAACAGTATCATTGGCAGCTGCATCCCAAAATATTTCTACTCCGCAAACTAATTCACCTCAGCAGCATCATTCTCAACATCAACATCATCAATATCAACACCAACATCATGTCCAACATCAACATCAATATCAACATCAACAACAATCTCATCCTCAGCAGCACCAACAGCAACAGCAGCATGATAATTTGAAAGAGGATAAGTTGCATCAACCTAACCTAGCATCCTCAAATGTAATAAACTCATCTGAGTAAAGTTCATTTGTCCAGCATTGATGTTTACATTTAGGTATATGTTAAAAGCCTGCAATAATTGACATATAATATATATAATTCCTAAATTTGTAAACGATAATATTCAGAAATACATACAGATATTTTTATTAAAAAAAAATACCATTATTACTCGATTACTTAATTACTTAAATAACTTCATTAGATTATAGAGGGGTGTCATTAATGCTATATCTATAATTATGCAAAAACTTTATATGAATAATGATCATTTGAAAAGCTTCATTATATTGAACATCTCTCCAGACTTTCCAAGTATACTTTACTTAATTCATAATGATATCCTTGGATATTCTGCTTTTCAAAGAATATTGGTAATCTCATTCTTGTTCGTTCAGCTATACCACATAATCTAACTGAATCTGTACCTGAGATTTTAATCTTCCCAGGAACAGTACCATTGATTAGCCTTGCAAAAATTTTGTCTAGGATAAACAGTAATTTGAATAATTTGGATAATGTATCATATTGTGCTTCTAGTGAAAGTAGTGTGATGTCGAATTTTTCAGAATAGTCAATTAGATCATCTGCGATTCTTAGCAAGTAGAATACTTGACCAAAACTAGTAGATTTATCCTCTGGTAATTCAGAATTTAGTACATCAAATTCTTTTTCAAATTCATATAAGTCTTGTTTTAGTAAGTAGTCAGTATTCGGCACACCATCAATTGAATACCAAATGAAATCTATCAATGCCTTTAAGTCTTTTAATAAAGGTACCAAATCGGTGTAACCTACATTATTGTAGTTTAAACCTCTGGATTGTATGAATCGGCGTTGGATATGCATTAATTGGTCATCACAATAACTTATAAATTTTGATTGCTGTGGTAAAGACAATCTCCTGGCATGTCTTCCTTCTAAATCAGACCCCTGTTTCACTTCATTCAATACACTGTTAGAAGAAAATGGGGAACTAATATTTATTCTTGGTTTAAAATCATCGACATCATCATACATATCTTCATCCACCGGTTCACGAGATCTCTTTTGTTGGTTTGAAAGTTGTTGGTTATTGGCATCATCATCATTTAAGGCTAAGTTTATATTACTACCCTCAAGTTCTGGATTTAAATTCAAATCATATATTTCAGTATCATCGACTTCTTTTAATCGATTTAGCAGAGTCTGGTCATCAGGCTTGCAATGCAAAGGGGTCTCTGGAGCTGACATAATTGGACAGGATTGTAATATATGATGATATAAGTTTTGATCTTTGGTATTTATAATCTTTACTTTGCTTATACTTTATGGTAAAAAAGATCACTCACCAAATAAAGAAACTTTTTTATAGTTATAATCAAATAGCTTTTTCAGTTAATAGGGTCTCTTTTCGTGCTTAGCAGAAGAAATATCAAACGTACAAAGGGGGAAAAAATGAGCTAAATGAGATAAACACTCGAACAGATAAAAGTGAATGGTATGGTATATATATCCAAATATTCAAATATCTTCGAGACGAATCGAAGCGTGGGGGGGGGGTGAAGGTTGGTGGGAAGATAGTAGTTATTTCTGTTTCCAAAAGCAACTTGATTTCGCAACAAGCAGCAAAAACATCGAGTGAGACCATGAAATAGATAGAACCATCCCCAGTTAGTTAAAGTTAGTTCATTGTTTGATTTCTAGGCTTCTCTCTTGCCTTAGTATGACCAAAAAGCAAATAAAAAAAGCAAAATGATAGAGAAGCTTTGGTAATCTAAGTAACAGGATGCTAGCGCCATTACAGAACGCACTTTCTCCTGTTGCCATTCGATCCTTACTGGCTCTCTCCCTCTCTCTGCCCTCTTCATCCTCCCAAATGGCTGTAATTAAGAAGGTAGAATGAACGTTTGGCCCCTCAAAAACATGTTGTTTGAAAGGCCAAACAAACAACAAACAACAAAAGTCAGAAGCTGTTAAAATGGGAGTAACTGTTACCACTTATCATCTTACAATGGTATCCCAATAATTATATGCCTCTTGTATCTACCTTGAATTGGTAACAGAATTCATCCCGAGGATACCAATATCTTTAACGCTTGGTGATGTTAAGAATAGTTAAGAGAACGAAATGACACTGCATTGAGAAACAACACATTCCTGACAGTTCCAACCGCAACATTTGATCTTGATCTCTTGACAATTTATATAATCCTGAGTTATTATTTCGTAATCGAATTGGTTCAGTTATATACATCCACGCTGAAAAGGACCATGCAACAAATGATTAACTCTAACTCTAACTCTAACTCTACCCTTATATAAAGATACTAAAAAGTATTAGACTTTGCAATCGTAACAAGATTCTAATCCTTCATTAAGCTACCAAATACATAACAATTGTCATCTCAAAGATAAATTATACAGCCAAGATCTCAGTTCCTCTTTTATGACATCTAACATCTATTAGAGCACTGTCGTTTTGTCGATGTCACTCTTCTGGTTGTGGAAAAGTATAAATAGGCGACGGTATTTCATAATTTTTTTTTGGGGGGGTGGGAACTTATAAAACATATTCTTTTTATTTTAGGAGGTGGTAATAGTAGGCAATTGGCGGCTAATCTTTGTTTCAGTATATGGAATAAGTTCTTTAACAGAAGAAGTATTGAGAAATATAAATAGCGACTCTATTTATAAGTATATTTTGGTTTGGTAGATTGGCGATGTCAGGTAAATTATTAGGGGTTCTGGAACTGGTTGGCGGCAACGACAGTGCTAAAAAAGTTGGCAAAGTTGGTTTGCATGGCGTGTCTCAAAGGATATGTATTTATAAACATTCTATTATTAAGATTGGAAGGAGTCCTGGCCAATGTAATTTTGTTATAAATGACCCTAAGGTGTCTTCTCTGCATTGTATTGTTTGGTCGATTTTATTTGATGATAATAGTCCGCCGATGTTTTATTTGAAGGATTATTCTTTGAATGGGACTTATTTAAATGACGATTGTCCTTTGAAAAAAGACATTGCCTACATGTTAAATGATGGAGATATCATCATGGTTAATAACTATATGGTAAGATTCAAGAGTTGCTACCTTTCAAGAAATGATGTTAAGACCGTTGAAGAACTCGGGTTTCAACGTAAAATTGGTAATTGGGAAGTTTCAAATAAAATTATTGGTGTGGGTACTTTTGGACATGTAATGGTGGCTTTTAAAGATACTAACAAAACTTTTGTTAATCATAAGGAAAATTACGCTGTGAAAATTATTAAATTAAAGCCAAATAAATTAGATAAAGAGGCAAAAATACTATTGAATCTTGATCATCCGAATATCATTAAAGTACATCATACGTTTAATGACATAACATGGTAACTTCTATATTTTCCAAGATTTGATACCTGGTGGTGATTTATTCTCATACTTGGCTAAATCCGATTGTTTGAGTTCAATATCTGAGACTGAAAGTTTATTGATAGTTTATCAGATATTAAAGGCTCTCCATTATTTACATCAAAATGGCGTGGTTCATAGAGACTTGAAATTAGATAATATTCTGCTTTGTTCTCCAGATACTATCTACCCAAAAATCGTCTTAGCTGATTTTGGAATTGCCAAGACTATTTGTAATAGTTCAAGAAGTACAAGAATGTTTACAATTGTCGGTACTCCAGAATATTGTGCGCCAGAAGTTGGGTTTAAACTAAATACGACTGCAACAACAGGGTTCGATAAGTA